CTTCAAATTGTGATTTCTCCAACTCCAAAACAGGGGAAAAACGATCGTTCATCTAAAAGACATCCGCAATCTTCATTTAGATTTAGATCTAGGCTAGCCTCGAAACTTGATCAATGATTTATATCTGTCTGTCTAGATCTAGGCTAGACCTAGGACATAGCTAGAAGAACTTAGACTTAGTTCTACCCTGAGCACAGAATTCTACATTAGTGTAGAATTCTGTGACCCTGAGCCAAGAGGGTGCTGAAACTTTCCGAAATCACAAAAGAGTTCCCCTACCGGGTCTGTATTTCGTGACTTTGTTCACGGTTACCGGGTCTGTATACACTTCGATAGATCTACCTCACCCTGTTACAGAATTCCTCCCAAGCCCTTGGCCCAAGCCCAAGCAGCTACTTAATCGTTCACTTGATTGTTCACGGATATTTTATCATGGAACAATTTGATGGATATAGATCTAGATCTAGATCTAGATCTTCTAGATCTAGATCTAGATCTAGATATAGAATCTAATCTAAGAAACTGCTAGCTTTACAATGAACCACGACTTGAGGATAGTGAAGCATCGGACTGGAAAACCCATCCTTGGTCTTGGTGGGCTTGGCCTAGGTCCAGGTTTCATCATCTCTAGGCCTACTCAAACGCAATAAAAAGAAATTAGTTGCAAACCGAGGTGACAGAGATATATATAAAAGAATCAAGATCAGGAACTAGATCTAGATCTAGAGTCTAGATCTAGAAATCTAGATCTAGATATATCTAGATCTATTTACAATCTTGAACTCGAGAACTGACCTGGTTCTGGGGTGAGAGAGATCTCGAGCCCGAGCTGCGACACAAAGCATGCATGCATATCGAATAAATTCTAAACTGAATGCTAAAATAACACCGTTTCTAAGTAACTCTACCTCTTTCAAGTCCGGCCATGTCTCTGGAAGTATGTGAGTATGTAAATCGATCTTCATTTTTTCCTGCAGGATGAGAACACTTGTTGTAAAATGTGTAAACAACACTTATGGTTCACCACCACTTGAGGCGAGACCAGCACCAGCACACGGAACTGATCTTTCTGGTCTATATGACCGTGAACTTTAACCTTCTCTAACCAATAGAAACTGGGGGTGTGTCCTCAGTCCTCAGTCCTTTATGACCGTATCGCCTTGTGACAAAGCTTTGGTGGGACTGAAGCCAGGCCTCTGAGGCCGAGGAGTGTAGTAGTCAAGTCCTGCAAATAGGCCAGAGATCCAGACCTGCTTTTCCCT